ATGCTCCACATCGCCGGCTCGGAGGGGCCTGGCGCGGTGCTCGTCTTCGTGCCAGGGTGGGCGGAGATCACCGACTGCGTCAAGGAGCTCGAGGGGGCCCAGCACAGGAGCGGGGAGAGGTGGCACATCTTCCCCCTCCACTCGATGGTGCCTCCCCACGAGCAGAACCAGATCTTTCAGGTCTTCCCCGAGGGGTCCAGGCAGAGGAAGATCATCGTGAGCACCAACATCGCCGAGACGTCCATCACGGTGGAGGACGTCGTCTTCGTCATCGACTCGGGGCTGATCAAGGGCACCACGTACGCCCCCAAAACGAACGTGGCCACGCTGGAGGCCCTACAGATCTCGCGCTCGAACGGGCAGCAGCGGCGCGGGCGCGCCGGGCGCGTGCGCCCCGGCAAGTTCTTCAAGCTCTACTCGCGGATTGACTGGGACGAGATGTCGGACTCCATGGAGCCCGAGATGCAGCGGACGCCCGTGGAGGAGCTCTGCCTGCAGGTGCGGGCGCTCGACCTGCCGGGCCGCATCGGCGCCGTGCTGGGCCGCGCCATAGACCCGCCGGAGAAGCTGGCGGTGTCCAACGCCATCTTCCTGCTGCGGTCCCTGGGCGCCCTGGACGCCGAGGAGCAGCTGACCCCGCTGGGGTGGAAGCTGGCGCTGCTGCCCATCCACCCGTCCCTGGGCAAGATGATGCTCCTGGGGTCGCTGCTCGACTGCGTCCCGGAGCTGCTGTCGGTGTGCGCCACGCTCTCCTCCAAGTCGCCCTTCGTGATGCCCTTCGGCAAGGAGAAGGAGGCCGACGCCGCGAAGCAGGCCCTGGGGCAGGGGCTCTCCAGCGACCACCTGCTCTACGCGCGGGCAGTCGCCTCGTGGTTGCGCATGGGGCCCCGCGACCGGAGCTCCTTCTGCTTCGACTACTTCCTCTCGGACAAGGCTGAAGTCGGGCCTGTCCCTGTAGAGGGGCACTATTCAAAAATAGTCCAAAAACAGTCTGGGGATCATTTTTTCCGTATGTTTGGGCATCTTTTTGGGGCATTTTTGCTTCTTTTTTTTTTCGTCCAAGATCCCCCTGTGGGGGGACAGGCCCGACTTAAGACGAGGCCCTGCAGCAGATCGACAAGACCCGGCGCGACCTCCACCAATACGTCGTGGACCTCAAGCTGCGGCCCGCCGGCGAGCGGCGGGCGGGGTGCGTGCCCTTGTCCTCGAGTCGGGCGTGCCCCTCTACAGGAGGATTTTTGTTTCCCCCTCAAACCAGCAATCCTCGCGGCCATGCTTGGTTAATAAATCCTCTGGTGCGCTCTGGGCTGTGGTACGGATCGCAACGAAAGCAGCCGAGCATACCTAACAAATCCTCCGAGGAGTGTGCAGAATGAGTCCGAAAATCCTCCGGGGACAGTTCCTGGAGCATTGTTTGACCATCTTGGGAGCATTTCGGGGGCATTTTGGTTGGTATTTTTCGTCCAACATCCCCCTGTGGGTATTTTTTGGGGGTATGTTTGAAATATGTTTGGGGTATTTTGTGTGGTATTTTTCGTCCAAAACCCCCATTTAGGGGGACAGGCCCGACCTAAACTTCTCCACGGCCTCGCGGTCCTCGGCCGCGACCCCCAGGGGGCACACGGTGGGGTCTGGTGTGGCTGCCTCCCGCGCGGAGCGCCTCCACGGCATCGCGGGCGTGCCACTGCCCGTGGGGTCGCGCCTCGGTTCGGATGTTGCTGGAAGTGCTCCTGGCCCAAGGTGCCCCCCAGCTTTGCGCTCCAGTTTGGAGCCCCTGGGGCCCTCTGGGCCTCGTGAGGGGTGCCCTGGAGGCCGCCTGGGCCACCCCGAGAATCCTGGGGGTACCTTGGGCCAGGGGCACTTCTAGCAACACCCGATCGGTGGTCAGGCCGCGAGGGCACGGGCACGGATGATGATGATGATGATGATGATGATGATGATGATGATGATGATGATGATGATGATGATGATGATGATGATGATGATGATGATGATGATGATGATGATGATGATGATGATGATGATGATGATGATGATGTGATGATGATGATGATGATGATGATGATGATGATGATGATGATGATGATGATGATGATGATGATGATGATGATGATGATGATGATGATGATGATGATGATGATGATGATGATGATGATGATGATGATGATGGTGATGATGATTGATGATTGATGATGATGATGATGATGATGATGATGATGATGATGATGATGATGATGATGATGATGATGATGATGATGTCGACGATGATGATGATGCTGATGCTGCTGATGATGATGACGGTGATGATGCTGCTGCCGATGTTGATGCTGATGATGATGTGATGCTGAGATGATGAGGATGAGGATGAGGATGAGGAGGGAGGAGGAGGAGGAGGAGGAGGAGGAGGAGGAGGAGGAGGAGGCGGAGGAGGGGAGGGGGAGGGGGAGGGGGAGGAGGGGAGGAGGAGGAGGAGGAGGAGGAGGAGGAGGAGGAGGAGGAGGCCTGCTGCTGCTGAGGCTGTGATTGATGCTGCTGCCTGTACTGCTGATGATGATGATGATGATGATGATGATGATGATGATGACTGATGATGATGATGATGATGATGATGATGATATGATGATGATGATGATGATGATGATGATGATGATGATGATGATGATGATGATGATGATGATGATGATGATGATGATGATGATGATGATGATGATGATGATGATGATGATGATGATGATGATGATGATGATGATGATGATGATGATGATGATGATGATGATGATGATGATGATGATGATGATGATGATGATGATGATGATGATGATGATGATGATGATGATTCGGGAGGGGAAACAACACACATACACACAGACACAGAGAATCGTGGACCCCCCTGGAAAATGATGGGAAAATGCGTATGGGAAGTGGGGGGGAAGACGAAAGGCAAGAACATTTAATAACATATGGGGAATATTGGGATCCGGGTGTACTTGTTTATGTGCCCCTGGGTCCCTTCAATGCTCGCCGCTCGTGAGGCGAGAAGCTGCCTCCTGGGGACGACAGCCTGGGCCCAGAGCGGTGCGCGGAGCTGCAGTTCGCGCTCGCCTCGTCGCTGCCTCTCGCCACCCGCCCGCCCTCGCAGAGGATCTGCGGAAGGCACCCGCATACACCACCCTGGGCGCCCTGGCATGGTGCACGGGCTCGGAGGAGGCGAAGGTGTCCCTACCGCTGCCCATCGGTCGTTGAAAGTAGGTATTCTTGGATGCCCATATTCCATTCTATTTTAAGCGCCTTCCTACTTCAATGATCGAGTGGCTTCACCTTTTCCGTCCTCCTTCGGGGGCGGACGCAACTCAATCTACTTTCAACGCCTTCCTACTGCATGTTTCTACCTACTTCTTCCGACCGATGAGTACCCTTTACCTCGCTTTCGCCTCCTTGGGCCTCCTGGGAGGCCCTCGTCGCCGCCACTGGATTCGCCTCGAAATCGTGATGGTCAGAACGCACCCTGGGAGAGATCCGGGGAGCAGCGGTATCGGTATCTATCTGAGGAGGAGGAGGAGGCGGAGGAGGAGGAGGAGGAGGAGGCGGAGGAGGAGGAGGCGGAGGCGGAGGCGGAGGAGGAGGAGGGGGAGGAGGAGGAGGCGGAGGCGGAGGCGGAGGCGGAGGAGGAGGAGCTGCCCCCACGGGCCCCCCTGGCCGAGGCCCATAGGGAGGGGGGGCTGTGTGCGCATCAGCCTGGGGCCAGAGGTGGCCCTGGACATGCACAAGGGCATCGCTCGGACGTGTGCAGCTCTTGTTTTTGTCTCGGCAGGGTCTAGGCCTCTCAGATGGGGTCGGAGTAGGTGGGGCCGGAGGATCGTGCTGCATCGCCGATGCGGCTCGATGCGGAGCCGATTTCCTCTACGTCGACGTCGCCGAAGCACCGCCGACGTCGCGGGTGCATCGCCAGTGCATCGCTGATGCATCGGCGATGCGTCGCCGATGCATTGGGGATGCGGCGCGATCCTCCGACCCCATCTGCTCCGACCCCATCTAGGAGGCCTCTAGGCAAAGGACCGCCGAGGAGCATCGTTTGGGCCATCTTGCGAAAGAGAGACGCGCCCGAAGCTGAAAGATGCACAGGGGGACGGACGTCCGAGCGATGGCGAGCGCACGGCGGCGTTGTAGGGGTGCTTTCCGCGGAGAGGAAGTTCAGGTGCCTGGAGGCTACCCACGCGTCCTGCGCCGTGCACCCAAGCTCGCTGCTGGAGAACCGAAGATCAAGCATCGGCATCATCATGAGCATCAAAACGTTCGGAGGTCCGCGCGGATCCCTTGGGTCAGCGCCAGGCGCCCCTTCCGCGCAGCCCCAGGCGGCACGTGCAGCCCCAGCCCTAGCGTGCTCTGGGGAAGGGGTTTGAAACCCCGAGGTGCTGCGGTGACCCAGGTGAGGCGGTTGGGGGATCCGGGGTGAGCGCATAAGGGGAAGGTGCCCTGGCGCGGACCCAGAGCACTCCCGCGCGGACGCCAGAAGGTCTGGCCTTGTGTCTCTGCTGTGCCCCTCCAGGAGCACATGTCCTCTCCCAAGCGGCGCTCCTGGGAGGGCGAGGGGGCGTACGGCGTGCTCTGCTGGCTCTCGGCGGGAGGAGGAGCAGCACCGCCACCAGCGGGCCACCTCCGGCGAGGCCAGTGATGCCTCGAGCGGGGGCCCCCCCGCAAAACGGGCGTGCCACACCACCGGGAGGACCCTCCCCGTCGTAGAGGTGCCGAGGAGGAGGAGGAGGAGGAGGAGGAGGAGGAGGAGGAGGAGGAGGAGGAGGAGGAGGAGGAGGAGGAGGCGGAGGCGGAGGAGGAGGAGGAGGAGAAGGGGGAGGCGGAGGAGGAGGAGGAGGAGGAGGAGGAGGAGGAGGAGGAGGAGGAGGAGGAGGAGGAGGAGGACCTCCTCATCCTTCCCTCTCCCCCGTCCTACATATGGTAGTGGTGGTGGAAGATTGGCCCATCATGCCCGAGGTGCTCCTGGCCCCAGGTGGCCTCAGCTTTTCCAGGGAGGCCCAGGTGTCCTCAAGAGCTCCCCATCACGGGGCCCAGAGGGCCCCAGGGCTTCCGAACCGGCGCGGGAGGTTAGGGGCACTCACGCGCAGGCTCTCCTCTTGCATATCCGACCCTGGCTCCTCGCGATGGTGGTGGTGGTGTGCAGTCAGCCCGCATAATAAGGATGGGCATCCTTCCCAAGGGTACCCTTGCATCCTTGCCTCCTCGGTCCATCCTTGGCCACTCTCGTGGGCCGCGCCCCGCTCCAAAAGCTTCGAAATGGGTGCCCACGGCCCTGACATCCTCTTCGCGCATCCTTCTGAGACGGGCCGACAGTGTGTGTTCTTTGCTCCCAGGTTTTCTCGCCTGAAGACCGCCGAGCTGTACCTGCACGACGCCTCCCTCGTCGCAGACGTCCTGCCGCTGGTGCTGCTGTCGCCGTTCGTCGCGCCGCGCGAGGGGCACCCCGCGGTCTTCGAGGCGTGGAGGGCTGGCCGCCCGGCCCCCAAACGGCTGCCCGGGCGGCCCCCCAGGGCTCCGGGGAGGCCCGCGAGCGTTTCAGGATCACCCAGGATTCAGGAGGGGAAAAAACACACAGACACAATTAATCTTCGATTTTCCAGAAAATATGGGAAAATATGGGAAGTGGGGGGGAAGACAGAAACCCAGAAAATATAGGAAAAATATGGGGGGTCCTTTTATTTGTGTGTATTTATTTGTGTGTCCCAGGGCCCCTTCAGTTTCAGGATCACCCAGGATGCCTGCCAGACGGCCCAGCACTCCCGAAGACAGCCCAAGACTGCCTCGAGGCGACCCTAACTAGACGGCCTCCCGACGGCCCAGCAGGCCCCCGAGAGGGCCCCAGGAGAGGCCCAGGGGCCCGCCTGGAGCTCCTCCGGGAGCAGAAGCCCTCCCCAAGCCAAAGATGGATCCCTCGTTTTAGATGTCTACTCTTCGCGCGTCCGATGCGCTTCCGAGGCTCCATTCTAGCATCGACGACGCTCCAATGATGCACCCAAGAGGGGCGCCCAAAATCGCCCCAAGAGGCCCCCTATGACGTCCCAAGAGGCACCAACGAGTCCCCTAGGAGCCCACCAAGAGGCCCCCAGAAGGTTGTCAGGGGGCCACAACAGCCCCCAAAGGCTGCCAACGGCCCAAGAGGCCCCCAGGAGACTTCAAGATGGCCCTCAGGGGCCACCCGGGAGGTCCTGGGAAATGTAAGATTTCAGCTTCCTATATCCTCCAGTGGCTTCAACCTCGCCCCCAAGACGGCTCCATGATACTCCCCACAAGGCGCCCAAAGGTGCCCCCAGACGCTCAAACAGTCACCCATGACGCCCCAAAAGGTGATCGTTGTCTTATTTAATTTGTTTGCCGATCGGCGCGGGCCCTCGCACCCCCCTCCCCCCCCATGGAGTAGATCTTGGCTGTTTTTGGCGCCTGTGTCGAGCAGGCATTGCTGCAAACTGTCGCATTAAGCAGAGGTCCAGAGCCAGACCCCCCCCCTCCCCTCCTTTCCGCCCAACGTCGAAACGCCGAATAAGAAACTAACTGCTCACACGAGGCTCCCAAAAAGGCCCCAGGGGGCCACGACAGCCCCAACGGCTCCAAGGCTCCCAAGAGGCATCCAGGGGCTCTCGCGAGGCCCCCGCGAGGCCCAACAGAGCTCTCGGGAGGCCCCCCAGAGGGCCCGGAGGCTCTTGGGGGCCTCTTGGGAGCCGCTCCCAAAAGGCCCCCACGAGCCCTCCACGGCATGTTTTTTTTTGGGGGGGGGAAACCTATCTTATCTGAACGATTATCACATCCACGCCTTTCGGAACTCCCAGCGCTTCCTTCAGCTTCGAAGTATCCGCCAGAGTTTCAGGCAAGCGTACGTTGCGACCACCTGAGCGACTTAGAATTACCCTGGCGAAGGACCCAACCATTCTACGGACGTGGAAACGACCCACAAGACCGCTCAGCGCACAAGAACTCGATGGGGGCTCCGCAGTGCCCCTGACAACTTCGCCAAAGAACGTCGGAACAAGCTCGGCACGCACTCACGAGACGCACATTTCACGCGGGAAGTTGACCATGCACGCGGCGGGGAGCACGAGGGCAGGGGCCAGAGAAGTCAAAGCGATGCGTGAGAGGGGTTGTGCCAAAGAGGGCACGAGTGCGCATGCGAATTCTGCCAATGCCCCCTTCGGTGGAGCTCCCTATGAGCTCCCTAAGGGGTGCGCCAAGATGGATCCAGCTACGCGTGCGGACCCTGCCACTGGGGCCCCTATGGGGCCACGAAACGTGTGGAGAGTGTGTGTGTGTGTGAGTGAGTGAGTGAGTGAGTGAGAGTGAGTGAGAGAGTGTGTGTGTGTGTATGTGTGTGTGCGGGCCAAAATGGGGTGGGTACGCATTCGAACCCTGCCACTGGGGCCTTCGGTGGAGCTCGCTGTGGAGCCGTGAAACTTTTTGAGGGGTCTGCCGAAATGCACCCAGGTACGCATGCGAACCCAGCCACTGGGGCCCTCGGTGGAGCCCCCCATGGGGCCACGAAACCTATGAGGGGTCTGCCGACATGGAGCGGGTACCCATCTGAACCCTGCCACTGGGGCCCTCGGTGGAGCCCCCTTATCAAGCCACGAAACGTGTGATGGGGTCCTCCAACAGGTGGCGGGTACGCGTGTGAACCCTGCCACTGGGGCCCTCGGCGGAGCTGCCTATGGGGCCACGAAGCGTGTGATGGGTCTGCCGACATGGGGTGGGTACGCACGTGAACCCTGCCATTGGAGCCCCTGGTGGGGCCCACTATGGGGCCACGGAGCGTGTAAAGGGTCTGCCGAAGTGGGGTGGGTACAGTGAGCGGCTTGAATAAGGAACGCTTACTTTTCAAAAGGGGCTCGGTCGTTCCTTAGGCTTGCATGCGTTATTTATCGTTCCCTATGCGTTATGTATTATTTGTTCATCGTTCCCTATGCGTCATTCCTTGGAAGAAAGGGGCTTCGTTCCTTATTTATCGCTCCTTAGGTCAGGCCGATGACTGTACCCATGTGAACCCTGTGTCTGGGGCCCTCGGTGGAGTCCCCTTTATGGGGCCACGAAACGTGTGAGGGGTCTGCCAAGATGCGAAAAGGCAAAAGAGAAGGCGAGGATAGGGCCTCCTATACTGCTAGAGCCGTCGCCGGGGGGTCGGTGGAGCCCCCCATTTGGGTATGCACTGTGTATGGGGTGTGATGAACATGTGATTGTAATGATAGGGGTGGTGATTGATATTAAGATGATGATGCTGACGAGGAGGAGGAGGAGGAGGAGGAGGAGAAGGAGGAGGAGGAGGAGGAGCAGGAGGAGAAGGAGGAGAGGAGGAGGAGGAGGCGGAGGAAGAGGAGGAGGAGAAGGAGAATCAGGAGACGCGCGGCGCTGCGAATTCCAAACTAGGATCTAACTCCACAGGAGGGTTGGGAAACACTGGGTCGTCTGCATGGACACTCGCAGATAAAATCTCACGTAAGCTAAGTTTGGTTTGCAGTCTGGAGCCGGGGTATTCCATTTGAGTGGGACCCCTGTCCCGCGTAGTCTACCGCGTGGATGGCCGCGTAAGTGACCGTGTTAGTGAGCTATGACATATCACGCAAGACGTCATTGGTCCGAAAGATACCCGTACCTGGGGCCAGCCAAGGTGAGATGGTCCGTCCAGGGGACTGGGCGCTTGCTATTGTGCCCGGTCAGCTTGCCCCGCGCGCGCCAGTGCAGCATCCGCGCGTCAAGACGCAACGGCGCGCTCGATGGTTGGGTGTCCGATTGCAGCGACAAGCGCTGGTTTTTGTTAGGGACGTCTCGGGGCATCGTGGTGCGTGCGCGGTTCAAATCCGCCCATATGTGGCGGCGCCTGTCCCAATCGATAAAGAGTTGCATTTCCTCGCTATCCTGGCAACCAATGCGTCTGGGCCTGCCCTGAGGAACGACGTTGCAATGTCGCGCCCCCAGGGGGCCACAGCGGCCACGTCGGGGACGGCTCTGGAGGGCATGATATGTGCTCGAGAGCGTTTTGGGCCTGCCGCCACCTCGGCTAGGCACGGGGACCTGCCTGAAACCACCGAAACATACCGGGACCTAGCTGGGGTGAGCTGCGGCACCCCGGCTAGGTACGGGTATGTTTTTTGGGTTTTCATGGGGCAACCGTACCTAGCTGGGGTGATCCGCAGGCGGCCGTCCAAGGGGGGCAGCCTCTGGTGACCTCGCCCAGGGCACAGATTCGCGATGTCTCTGCACCGAGCACTTCGCGATAGGGCGGTTGTCGTGCAATGACGTTCGCGCCAGAGTTGCTCGCATGCGCCCCCGAGTGCGCGTTGACTCCTCAACGCCCGGATGTGTATCTGGGGGCGCCTCCGCAGTAGCTGGTCTACATCGACAACAACCAACGCAGGGTCGGGCACTCCGCCGATTCGAACGCACGTGCGATCGGTGCTAACGTGCGCCCCGAGAAGACAGCGGTCTGTAATGCTCGATCGGCTGTCGTTTCTACACTTGTGCAGCCGCCGTCAGCTGCGACGAGCCGCCAACCCGGCCCCTTGCCACCCTGTCTAGGTAAGGGTACGGGTATCTTTCGCGCTCGAGAAGACGGGTTATTTTCCAGCGCTCGCGTGGAAGACACCACGGGATCGGGCACATGCCCGCAACACGCCACCTTCGGAGTCGACCGGAGCCTGAGCGCGCGAGGCGCGCGCGCGTGGCTCGCACATCCGCACTGCCGTCGCTTCCTGCATGGGGCCCACGCTGGCGGCAAGCATGTCGTCCTTGCGAGCCCTCGGCCCCCGCAGGGCCCCGCCTCCGCTCCCAGGGGCCCTCGCACCGTCCAGGCTCCGCTCCCGACGGCCCCCGGGGGCCCGCAGCACGCGGCCCCCCGCCCCAGACGCCGAGGCAGAAGCGCCGGCACGCGGTCACGGCCCCCTCTGCCAGGATTCTCCGGGCTCGTCTTGGGGAGAATTCCGGGGTTGCCTTGCCGGCCGACGAGCGTTCTGATGGGCAAGCGTTCCACCACCCCTACCACACGCAGGACGGGGGAGGAGGAGGCCGGGAGGATGAGGAGGTCCTCCTCCTCCTCCTCCTCCTCCTCCTCCTCCTCCTCCTGCTCCTGCTCCTGCTCCTGCTCCTGCTCCTGCTTTTCCTCCTCCTCATCCTCCTCCTGTTCCTCCTCCTCCTCCTCTTCTTCCTGCTCCTCCTCCTCCTCCTCCTCCTCCTCCTCCTCCTCCTCGTCCTCCTCCTCCTCCTTCTCCTCCTCCCTCCTCCCACTTGTGGCAGTGGCGGTGGAACATGGGCCCATCATGCTCGGCCGTGCGCCGAGGCAGCGACGCTGCTCCCCCTGGGGGGCCCGCGTCCGTCCGGGGTCCAGGCCCGAAGGCCCGAGGCCCCCCCGACAGCCCGAGGTCTGTCAGAGGCGCCGGTGCGCCGACACGGAGCTTGCCCTCCAGGAGCGTCTTGGGTGCGCACCCTTGCCCGAGGCGGGAATCTCTGCATTCCTCCCCCTCCTCCTCCTCCTCCTCCTCCTCCTCCTCCTCCTCCTCCTCCTCCTCCTCCTCCTCCTCCCTCCTCCTCCTCCTCCTCCTCCTCCTCCTCCTCCTCCTCCTCCTCCTCCTCCTCCTCCTCCTCCTCCCTCGGCAGGCGGTGGATGTGGATATGCTCGGGCCCCCCGGGGGCTAAAACATGGCCATACCCACCGCCCGCTGGGGCGCCAGGGCGTCGGCTCCCAGGCGGTGGATGTGGATAGATCCCCGCCTCGCACCTCGGGCGTTGCGTCCTGGCGAGGCGATGCAGCCGAGGCGCTGAGAGAAGGACCGCTCTGGGCTCGGGAGGGGCTCGGGGGCTTTCAGGCCGCTCCTCCGGTGTAGGCCGGGGAGCCCGTTTGTGGCCAAAGCTCGCCTTGGCCGAGGCTCGCCTCGGCCGAGGCTCGCCGTGGCCGAGGCTCGCCGTGGCCAAGAAAGCCCCTCGGTTCCTTGCTTGGTGCTCCCCCTGGCAGTGCCATGACTGCAAGAGGGGGGGGGGGGCGAAGGGACGTGCGCCTTTCGTGCACCCTGGGTGCCCTAGACGGGCCCCCTGGGGCCCAAAAGAGGCACGGAAGGAACACGGTAGGTTCATGCGGCGTTGGCGCGCCTGCGACGCCGGCAAAGGCGTTCGTTCAAGTGTGAATTCTGCGACGCGGAAGCACCAACGGACACGGTGACGCCACTGGACCCGACTGAGTTTCACCTTGAACGACCGGAGCCACGATCGGTTCCCGGTTGAACGATCCACGCGGTGTCAACACCTTGTGCGCGCGCCGACGCCGCACGAACCTACCGTACATGTCTTCGCCCCTCCGCCCTCCTCCGCTCTTTTTCGCTTTCTTTTGCCCGAGGAGGAGGAGGAGGAGGAGGAGGAGGAGGAGGAGGAGGAGGAGGAGGAGGAGGAGGAGGAGGAGAGGAGGAGAGAGGAGGAGGAGGAGGAGGATGCAGGAGCAGCGAGCAGGAGCAGGAGCAGGAGCAGAAAGAAGGGGAGGAGGAGGAGAAGAAGGAGGAGGAGAAGGAGGAGGGGGAGGAGGAGGAAGAGGAGGAGGAGCAGGAGGGGGAGGATGAGGAGGAGGAGGAGGAAGGAGGAGGAGGAGGAAGGAGGGAGGAGGAGGAGGAGGCGCAGGAGCAGGAGCAGGAGCAGGAGCAGGAGCAGGAGCAGGAGCAGGAGCAGGAAGAAAGGGAGGAGGAGGAGAAGAAGGAGGAGGAGGAGGAGGAGGAGCAGGAGCAGGGGGGGGAGGATTTTTTCCACACCACGTAGCCTTCAGCCCGCAGGGTGTCGCCGAGCCGGCCGCAGCGGCGCGGCGCCCCGCGCGCGCGGCCGGCGGGCGAGCCCGACCGAACTACACGGGGAAAACGACGGGGGTCCCAAAGGACGGGCTGCGCGGCGCCGCCAAAAGACGGCGCCGCGCCAGCCGCCCCCAGGGACCCAGGTTTTGGACCCCACGACACCCAGGACCGAACCAAAAAGCGGCACGACACGACACGACACGACGGGGGGACGCAACGGCCACGACACGACACGCACGACACGACACGGACGAACGACACGACGGAGACGAGCCGCCGGTCCCGCCCCAGGGCGGCGAGCGCTTGGGGGGCATCCAGCACCGCCCTGGGGGAGGCCACGGGACCTGGCGACCCCCCCGGGGGAAGGAAACCGCATTTTGGCGGCGTCCCCCGGGGTGCGGGGGCTTGTCGCCCGGAGGGCCCGGCGGTCCCCGCCTCCGCCAGGGGGCCGAAGCCCGACCCCACTCTCGGGGGCCCCCCTGGGGCAGGAAGAGGAGGAGGAGGAAGGAGGAGGCGGAGGAAGAGGAGGAGGCGGAGGCGGAGGAGGAGGCGGAGGCGGATGAGCAGAAGGAGGAGGAGGAGGAGGAGGCGGAGGCGGAGGCGGAGGAGGAGGAGGCGGCGGCAGCGCTGCAGCGTCTGGGCCTTGGAGCGGCCCCGAGGTGGCCGCGCCGCCCATGGGCGACGATGCGGACGACGAGGGCGAGGGTCCGGCGGCCGACGGGGCGGACCGCGCAGCAGGGGCGCCCGAGAGTCAAGTCGGGCATGTCCCTCTGCAGGAGGAACTTTCCAAAAATAGTCAAGCGTAGTCGGGGGACGATTTTTTTCACTATTTTTGATTCTTTGGGGATCAGTTTTTTTGTGGCAGTTCTCAAAATCTATGTTTCGTCCCAAATTCGCCTGTGGGAGGACGTGCCCGACCCAATCCAAGAGGGAGGGGGGCGCCTCCGGGGCCAGTGCGATGGTTTGCGCGAGAGGCGCACGGGGGGACCTCGCATGTGGCCGCGCCTTCCTTCGGCCGCGTCCCTCCTCCTCCTCCTCCCTCCTCCTCCTCCTCCTCCCTCCCTCCCTCCCTCCCTCCCTCCCTCCCTCCCTCCCTCCCGCCTCGCGCCGCCGGCTCCCGAGTGGGACCGGCACCCCCTGCGCCCCAGGGGGACCGACGGCGATGCCGGAAAGTGGTCAGTCCGGCGGGGACTAACCGAAAGGCAGGTTAATTCGCTGGCGCCCTCTGGAAAGAGGAGGAGGAGGCAGGGAGGAGGGGGAGGAGGAGGCCGCGCAGGAGGCGCACTGGCAAGGGCGGCCCGGCAGGGGACGGGGAGGGACGAGGAAGGGAACGGGGGACGGGGGGCGGCGGTGCCCGTCGGCGTGGTGGTGGTGGTGGTCAAGCTGGTGGTGGTCGTGGTGGTCGTGCTGGTGGTAATCGTCGTGGTGGTCGTGATGGTGGTGGTCGTGGTGGCTGGGAGGTGTGGTCGGTTTGCTGGTGGTGCTGGAGGTCGTGGTGGTCGTGCTGGTGGTGGTGACTTTGGTAGTCAATCAGCTGGTGGCTGTGGTGGCCGCACGGGCGGCGGTGGTCCTGAGAGTCGGACGGGCTGGTAGTGGTCGTGCTGGTGGTTGGTCCCGTGGTGGTGATAGTGGTCAGCGCCTACCTCCCCAGGGCGCTCAGGATCATCTCAGCATTCCCTTGTTGTAGGGTGCGTGAGATGTCCCGCCAGATCCGGCTCAAGAGCTCGGACCGGTCGGCATCCTCAAGAGAGGCGCCGTAGCTCCGAACGAAGCTTACTGCCTCGTCAGACGGCCGCCCCCCGGTCTCGAAGACCATCGGGACGAGGTCTAGGCCCTCCCGGGGGGGGTACCGGCCCCGTTTGTCGTCGACCATCTGGGCTGCTGCGAGTCCGTCTCGTTCGGCTCGGGCGTGCCTGCGTGGGGCGTAGGTGGAGTGTACGCAGGTCACCGCCCAGTCGACAAAGATGGGTCGACCGGTGCTGGGGTCGTGTGTCCGGATGTCCAACTTTGCTTCCTGAAGGACCCCGGTGTGGGGATGACGGCGATCCCACGCTGGCACGTGTTGTTCCGTCGGAGCAGCATGACCCGTAATTTCCTTATGCATGGATGCATGTCGGTCCCGGAGGCGGTCGTGCCGGGCGGTGCGGGATTGGCCCACCTCGCATGACTTGGCATGAAACCCGTGTGGGTCGAGGGGCTCTCCGCACAGCGTGCCGTCTTGTCGTCGGTGTTGGCAGCGCGAACCAGCGGGGCAGACTGGTGCTCGCAGCCGGCACATGAGGTTCACCTCGAAGTGGTCGTCTGGCTGCAGAGGGTCTCCTGGTTGTCGAGGTTGGAGAAACGCCCCTGCGCCTACGCCGCCGCACTCCCGGAGTGCCAGCCGGTCGTTTTCAGGGAGCTCCCGCAGCAGTCGTTCTCGGTTTTTCCCGGAGGCTGCCTTGCTCCACACGCCCTGGAGCTTAGCGTGGGGTTCCTGAAGACTGCGGGCCCAGTCGATGGGCTGTCCAGCTGTCGCCCCCGAGGCTTGTAGCGCTTGCTCGGCATGGGCGAGCGCTTGGAGGGTCCGCGGGCACCGCGTCCGGAACCCCTCCAGCGTGCTCACGTCCAGGCACTTTGCCACGTCGTGGAGGCAGAGCGCCCAGCTCGCGGCGTAGGCTGCTGGTGCGGTCTGGGCAGCGGAGGGAATGGCGCACCCTCCGTCTGCGAGGCGCATGGTGGCCTGCAGCCTCTGAAGCTCGTCCAAGTGGCTCCCGCGCAGGAGGTGTTCTAGGGCCGAAAACACCACCGCGTCGGGCTGCTCCACCCAGTTGCTCTGCAGATTGGCTCGCAGGTGGTGGGTGACGCATCCTTGGGCGAAGGTCCGCAGCAAGGTGAGGTAGGCCTCGGCGGAGAGCCCAGCCTCTCGGAGGTCCCGGAGTCTCTGGGTGAAGGCCTGCGCCTGTTGCACTGCCGCCGCGCCGTCTTCCCCTGCGTGAACCAGAACCCGGTTCTCCTGTTGGTCGAGCCAAGGCGCCGTGTTTCCCAGGCACTTTAGGTGGTCGACTCTGTGTGCACGGACAGCGTCTGGGAGGCCACTTGTTCGGTCCGCTGACCATGCCTGGGTTTTGCTCTCGTTGACCGTCAGGCCGTGGTTGGTGAGGGCGCCGACAACGAGTTGTTTCGCTCCTGCTGCGTGCTCCGGGGGCGCAAACACCATGATGTCGTCTAGGTAGGAGAACACGCGGCAGGCGGTGGAGAGGTGTTGGAGGCCCTGGGAGATCTCGTCCAAACAGTCCGCCACTGCAATGGCGAAGAACGCCGGTGAGAGCGGGCAGCCTTGGTCCACGCCTGTTGCGGCCGTCACCGGCCGAGCTTCGTTGGCGTCGTCCCAGTAGAGGTGCGTAGTGGCGGTCCCCAACCAGGAGTGCGCGGTGCGAAGGAGGCCGGGCGCCCTGGCCCGGAGTCCGGAAAAGATTCGGGCCCGCGGGAGGCTGTTGTAGGCGTTGGAGCAGTCGAAAGCTAAGACCACGCCGCGCGGGTGTGCCTCGGAGAGGGCGGAGATGCACTTGCGCATGACTTCACACCCGGCTGACTTCCCCACCGCGTATTGATGCGGGCCGCAGGCCTGACGTATCTCCTCCTTGTACACTTCGCAGGCTGCCTTGGCCGCTAGTCGTCTCAGTACGCCCCCGCACGCGATCGGTCGCAGGCCGCCGTTCCGCTTCCGAAAAGCCACCAGCCGCGCTCCGAGGTTGGCCCGGGTGGCTTCTGCGCTCAGGCAGCCGTGCAAGAAGAGAACCGTGACTTTGGCCACTGCGTCGAGCGCCGCGCTGTCGGCGAGGAGGGTCCGCCAGTGCTCGAATCTGCCCCCGTTTGGTCCTGCCCCCGACCGCCGCGGGCTTTTGGCCAGGCTCGTTTTCACGGCAGCAGCCAGGTCGTCCATGGTTTCTTGGTCTGGCAGGTTCGGGGCCGCGCCTGGGTCAGCTAGCGCGCCCGCGGGGGGGAATAAGTTTTGGAGTCCCTCATGGACCCCGGCGCCCGTGGCCAGCGTTGCGGGGCTGCTCGTGCGAACCATGGCCTTGCTGATCAGGTGCTCACCCACGAGCTTCTCCACGGCTTTCGCGTCAGCGGCTGGCGCGGGCGGCCGACTCGCTCGCCGCGGCGCTCCGCCCCCCGCCGTGAGCGCCTCTCTAGAGAGCCCGGCCTAGTCTCCCGCCTCTGCCATGCGGATTCGGCGGGTGAGTATGCTGGACCACCCCCCGCTGTTTCCTGCCTTCCGGCCGCCGCGTGTCTTCGCCGGCTTGAACAGGACCGTCCTGTCAAAGAACGTGAACAGCTTTTCCGCCCTCCGTTGGGCCGCGTCCCTCCCTCCCTCCCTCCCTTCCCTCCTCCCTCCTCCTCCTCCTCCTCCTCCTCCTCCTCCTCCTCCTCCTCCTCCTCCTCCTCCTCCTCCTCCTTCCTCCTCCTCCTCCCCTCCTCCCTCCTCCCTCCTCCCGCCTCCCTCCTCCCTCCTCCCTCCTCCCTCCTCCCTCCCCTCCTCCCTCTTCTCCCCTCCTCCCTCTTCTCCCTCCCTCCCTCCTCCCTCCTCCCTCCTCCTCCCCTCCTCCTCCCTCCTCCTCCTCCTCCTCCTCCCTCCTCCTCCTCCTCCTCCTCCTCCTCCTCCTCCTCCCTCCTCCTCCTCCTCCTCCTCCTCCTCCTCCTCCTCCTCCTTCTCCTCCTCCTCCTCCTCCTCCTCCTCCTGCATGGTGGCACTATTCGGCCCAACGGTGCCCCCGTTCATCCCATTCCTCGCCAGCGCAGTCACCCTCTGCCCAGCCACCGACGGAAAAAGTGTCTGTGTGTGTGTGGCCGCGCCGTTTGTTCCGGCGTGCGGCCTTCATTGCGTCTTCCGAAGTACGCCTCGGCCGCCAGGGCAACAAACTCCGCCTCGGACGCGGTGGGTTTGCCGTGCGGTCTGCGGCGGTGCTGGCTCCGTCTACTTGGGCTTGCCGTGGTGTCTGCGTCGACCACTGGGGCGCGTTCAACACAAACGGCGCGGCGACGTGTAGTAAGTTCGGTATAGAATGGCGCCTCCAGGGCCAGTCCGATCGTGAGCACGAACGGCGCACAGGCGAACTTCATGTGAACGACAGGGTGTCTGTCAAAGGAAAGGGATGGGCAGACTCGTGCAGAGAGCCTTGGCCTAGGAGAGAAAAAACGGAGCACGAGCAAGAAGACGCCAAGACCAATACCCGTGACAGTTGTTGCCCGGACGTGCCGTGCCGATTCGGGGGGTGAGCACTGAGGCGGGGGATACCTTCGTCGGAGGGGGACGCCATGACTTCGGATCAGGCTTGGTTTCGAAGAGGGCGTGAGGACTAGGAGCGTGTGTGTGTGTGTGTGTGTGTATGTGTGTGTGTGGGTGTGTGTGTGTGAGCGTGTGTGTGCTTGTTTGTTTGTTTGTTTGGTTGTTTGGTTGTTTGTTTGCTTATTTGTTAGTTTGTTTGTTCGTTCGTTCGTTCGTTCGTTCGTTTGTTTGTTTGTTTGTTTGTGTGTGTGCGCGTTCGTGTGTTTGTGTGTTCGTGTGTTTGCGTGTGTGAATATCGTGGCCGGAGTCGTGGCATCTCCCAGACTTGGTGCCCCCCTCTTCTTCTTTCTCTCACAGTCCAAGAGGATCCTGAGGACCAGTCGCCTCCTAGGTGCACCCTTGCGTCCTTGCCTCTCGGTCCATCCTGGCCCCGAGCCATGGGCCGGAGGGCGTCGAACTTCAGCTTCAGCTTGGGCGTCTCAGGGCCTCGTCCGCGTCCGCTCGCGTGCCTCGGGCCATGATGCGCTGGCCCCCCTCCTCCCGTGGCCCCTAATCCAAGCCTGTCTGAAAGCAGTGTTTGGTTAAAATCTGTGCATCCCTTATCTATCATGTATTTTTACTGTTTTAAACCGTTTTTGATAAATTAAACAACCCCTTTTCATTACCCCCTTGCGCGCGGCCAGCCCTCCGCGCGCCCGAGGACAGCATGGGCGGCGGGAGCCTCGGGGAGTCCGCGCCGCCCCCGCCGCCGCTGCTGCTGAAGCTGGGCGACGCGGCGCTGGCGGGCCCCGTGTGGGAGCTGCGGGGCAAGCTGGGCGAGCTGGTTGCCGGGGTGGCATTCCCAGGGGGCCACATGCGAACCCTACCCCTACCCCCCACGATTTCTGAGGGGGAGGGTGGGGTTCACTTCGCTCGGGAGCTCCCGAACGAAGTGAAGTTCGCATGTGGCCCTCTAATTCCCAAATCATCCGTTGCCGAAATTTCCGGTAATGCTCTGGACGACCCCGTCGCGACAGAGATGCGGATTCCGGTGGCGAATTCTGGCAGCGAGCGAGCCGTCGATGTCTTCGAAGTCTTCGCTTGGACCCTGGCGCGCCGTCTGCTCGTTAGCGGAATCCCACCCCCTTCGGATTGTGAACGCAATTTTTTGGTACGACCCAAATCCGTTACCTCGCGGACGATCTGGGCTGAATTCTCGGGAAGATCGCGCCCATGACATCCAACGCATCGAAAAACAGCATCGAACAACATCAAGGCGGCCGGTTTGTCGCATCTCTGGGGTCCAGAGAGGCCTGCTTCGGGCGTCCAGGCTTGCAGGAAGCAGCCCGACATGCAAACATCGGCTCTGGGGAAGGGGTCGAGAGGTCCGGGGGACCACGCGCGGAACAGATCGAAGCGCCGATGTTTGGGTGCTCCTATTCATGGGGGTCGGCCCTACGTCCCCAGGACGGCAGTTTTTTCCTCTTGGGCCCGGAGCGACGGTGTGACGTCTTGAGCAGACCCGTATGAGGTAACCGCCGTCGGATCCCATGAAGTTCGCGCGGATCCAAATGTGGCTTTGGTGCTTGTTTCGGTGGATCCGATTTCCGTCCGTACGGGTCCGATGTCGGATTAGCTGGATCCGTGTCCGGTCTTATTGTTACGGCGGATCCGATTTCTACCCTGTTTTAAATTTATATGACTAAATTAAAACAGGGGGCCGGAAGAAATCGGATCCACGGACCCCGCAAACCGCTCGTGTTAAGATTCTATGGGGGAGGGGGGGTTCGGTAATCAATGCTCCACGATGGGCCCTGCGTCGTGTCGCGCACTTCCATCAACTCCCCGCGCGAGCGGGTCCCATTCAACATGACTACATACATCCCTCTCCCCCAGGTTGCTGCAAACAGCTCGTCCGGTCGCCGTCCGTTCGGCGGCGCCGACGTTGTATCGCGAACTCCCTATAGACATTTTCACCTCAAGAGGGAAATCTTTCGTTGTCCTGCGTAAGTGCGTTTCGGCCCTGCGTTTCACCCAACGGAGTGCCTATGATATGTGGTGTGTCGGCTGTGTGGTTACCAACAACGGACTGCCTGTAAGATGTGGTGTGTCGGCCATGTGGTAACCAAGAAGTTCGAAGGCCAAAACGCCCAGTGCGTTTCGGCCGTGCGTCTCTTCACCCAACGGAGTGCCTGTGAGATGTGGTGTGTCGGCTACGTTGATACCAACAACGGGCTGCCTGTGACATGTGGTGTGTCGGCTTTACGGTAACCAGCGAGTCCGAAGGCCAAAACGCCCATCCCCAGAACGAAAGTTGTTTCCTCTTGATGTGGTGTGTCGGCTATGTTGTTACCAACGACGGATTGCCTTTGAGATGTGGTGTGTCGGCTAGATGGTAACCAACGAGTCCGAAGGCCAAGACGCCCATGCGTTTCGGCCGTGCGTCTCCTCACCCAACGGACTGCCTGTGAGATGTGGTGTGTCGGCTAGATGGTAACCAACGAGTCCGGTGGCCAAAACGCCCATGCGTTTCGGCCCTGCGTCTCCTCACCCAACGGAGTGCCTGTGAGATGTGGTGTGTCGGCTGTGTGGTTACCAACAACGGACTGCCTGTGACATGTGGTGTGTCGGCCATGTGGTAACCAACGAGTCCGAAGGCCAAAACGCCCATCCCCAGAACGAAAGTTGTTTCCTCTTGATGTGGTGTGTCGGCTGTGTGGTAACCAGCGAGGCCGAAGGCCAAAACGCCTAGTGCGTTTCGGCCGTGCGTCTCCTCACCCAGCGGACTGCCTGTGAGATGTGGTGTGTCGGCTAGATGGTAACCAGCGAGTCCGAAGGCCAAAACGCCCATCCCCAGGACGATAGTTTTCCCTCTTGGGCCCTGAACGACGGTGTGACGTCTTGTGCAGACCCGTATGAGATAACCGCCGTCGGATCCCATGAAGTTCGCGCGGATCCACATGTGGTTTTGGTACTTGTTTCGGTGGATCCGATTTCCGTCCGTACGGGTCCGATGTCGGATTAGCTGGATCCGTGTCCGGTCTTATTGTTACGGCGGCTATCGATCAAAGGAGGGAGGCGCCCGATCGAGGCCCCCCTCTCGGGTGCCACGATCCTCGTGAGGGGTGTCAAAAATTGACCCTCCCAGGAGCCGAGCTTGGACGCTCCAACCGATCGCGGCCTCTCCCGTCCAGGTCCAGGGGAGGGGGTAGGGCAAGCTAGGCGCGCTCGCGTCATATCTGACGTCCTACCCCTCCCTCCCATCCCTTACCATGGCGCTGATTTTCTCTATCCGCGGACGCGTGTCGTAGCGGACCTGTGGCTCCGCGCGCGCGTGCGTAGTGGGTGGTGGTGCACGTGCGTGCGTGCGTGCGTGTGTGCGTGGTTGTCGTGGTGGTGGTGGTGGTGGTGGTGGTGGTGGTGGTGGTGTGGTGGTGGTGGTGGTGGTGGTGGTGGTGGTGGTGGTGGTGGTGGTGGTGCTGGTGGTGGTTGGTGCTGGTGCTGGGTGCTGGTGGTGGTGCTGGTGGTGGTTGTTGGTGGTGGTGGTGGTGGTGGTGGTGGGTGGTGGTGGTGGTGCTGGTGGTGGTGGGTGGGTGGTGGTGGTGGCTGGTGCTGGTGCTGGTGGTGGTTGTGGTGGTGGTGTGGTGGTGGTGGTGGTGGTGGTGGCGGTGCGGCGCGGTGGTGGCGGGCGGATGGGCGCGCGAGAACGCCATCCTGAACGACGGAGGCCAAGCACCGATCCGAAAATGAGGCCCACGCTGCAGCGGGAGCACGATTCGGAACGATTCGGGAGAGAAATGAGGCCGGCGCCTCAACGAGAGCAGCATTTGGGGAAAAAATGACGCCGGCGCCTCAGCGAGAGTCGTTTCCCGGGATTTTCCGGGCATCCTGTGTGTAAAAAAACAATACGCGGAGGGTGCGCGGCTATCACCCGGACGCCATCAGGGGAAGGATTCGGGAGCAGAAATGAGGCCGGCGCCTCAACGAGAGCAGCATTTTGGGAAAAAATGACGCCGGCGCGAGAGCAGCATTTTGGGAAAAAATGACGCCGGCGCCTCAGCGAGAGTCGTTTCCCGGGATTTTCCGGGCATCCTGTGTGTAAAAAACAGTACGCGGAGGGTGCGCGGCTATCACCCGGACGCCATCAGGGGAAAAGGGAGAGTATATTCATATTGAGTAATTGTGGAAGGGTCAAGAGTCTCCCTCCCCGCCCGCAAACCGTCTCGCTCACTCCCACCCGCCCTCCCAACACATACGTAGCACCCGAACCTGGCCCGAGCCGCAGCATATGCAGCAGTCGTCTTTGGATGGCCACCTACTGGGGGCCAGTCCGCCGCCGCCGCCGCCTCCGCCGCCGCCGCCGCCCGCCGCCGCCGCCGGCGCCGCGCCGCCGCCGCCGCCGCTGTCCGCCGCTGCCGCCGCCGCCGCCGCCGCCGCCGCCGCCGCCGCCGCCGCCCCCGCCGCCGCCACCGCCGCAGCCGCCGCAGCCGCTGCCCCCGCCGCAGCCGCCGCAGCAGCCGCCGCCAACTGTACTCTGTATGGTTTTTGTTGACAGGGATGGTGGGGGGACGCCGCATCGGGTTCCCTGCGCATGCACCGAATTTGGAGACAGAGTGTATGTTTATATTGTTTGTTACAAGTAGTGGTGGGGGCAGAGTGTGTGTTTCTATTGTTTGTTACCAGGGATGGTGGGAGGGGGCCCGCATGGACTTGGGTTGGCTCCCAGTCGCCTGGGGGAGGGGGTGTATATATTAATAGGGAACAGTGATAAACCCCTCCCCGGAAAAGAAGGGATTTTGGAAGAGGAAAGAAAGTCATCGTTAGACCACCTGTGCCCATAGGGTTGGTGGGAACCTGATTTTCAGTGGAAGCATCAGTCGAACTGAGATCGGATTGCACGTCGAAGTGCAAGTTCTCCCCCAAATGTTTGTTTTATCACCCGCAGGGTGGCTTAGAATGTTCATGAGAGAGAGAGAGAGAGAAGGCTCCCCGAACGGTCATACTTCGCTCCTGGGCGCGCGCTCGCCCTGGGGTCGCCGCAGAAGGTTGTAGGGGGGGTTGTCGGCCAAGTTGGCAAGGGGAGTCGGTGAGGGGAGCTATTGCAGTCGAAACTGATAGTAAGGATGAGCGGCGTTCCACGGTTTCCTCTGCATCCTTTCCCTTCGGCCCATCCTTGGCCGCTTTCGTTGGCCGCGCCCTGCTGGAAAAGTGTAGGCATGGCCTCCGAAGGCCCTTACATCCAGTGGGCAAGGGTACGCGCGGGCACGCTCGCGGCCTTCCCTCTCTCTCTTGTTCGCTGCTGCGGGGCTCTACGTACCCAGACTCCCGACGTCGTGTATTTGCACAACGTCGACTCCCAGAGGTCTGGACCCTTTCCCTGGCACCGGTTTTTCGTCCTGAGTCGTTTTTTGACGTTCCCGAGGCCCGGTTAAGGCCTCCGAAGGCAGAAAATCGCGACAAACCTCCCGTCGTGTTTTTTTTGCAACGCGAGGGGGTGTGGGTATGTTCTTTCCTCCCCAGGTCGACCGGATCATCGGGCAGCCCCCGGCGAAGCTTCCGCAGGAGGCGGCCGCGGCGTTCCACGCGCTCCGCGGCCTGCTCCACGCCTCATACCAGCTGCACGCCGCGGAGCCAGAGGCCTGCGAGGAGTTCGGCGGCGACCCCTCCCAGGAGGAGCCCCAGCCTCAGGTCGGTGAGGGCCGACTGTGCACCACGCTAAGAAGAAGAAAAACGCCATAAACATGCTCTGTTGGCGCTCCGCGCGGATTTCTTGGATTCGCGTTGTGGCCCGCCGGCGGCGCCTCCGGCGCCGCCCCTGGCGCGCTCCGCGCGCCAGGGAGGGGGGCCCAGCGCGGATTCAAGAAATCCGCGCGGACCAGCGAAAGTTTCTGCTTCTGGCGTTTTTTGCCCAGCGCGGATCCAAGAAATCCGCGCGGACCGGCGAAAGTTTACGTCTAACTGCCCTGTTTTCTCCCCCGATGGTCCTGACCAGGCCCTTGCCGGGCCCAGGATCGGCCTCCGAGCCCTCGAATGGCCAGGCCGGGGGGGGGCCGCCTCCTTCGCTGGCCCTGGGCGCCCAGGATGGCTCTGGCCAGGGCCGGCGTGGCGTATCGTCGTCGCCCCGCGTCAGGGGTCGGGAGCCTTGAGACGGGGGTCACTGCAAACGGGGGTCAGCCAGGGCACTGGATCCTGCAAGATCCTGCGAAGACCCCCTCTGGCTGAGCCGGGTTAGCGAGCCGCTCGTGGCCACGAGGCGGCCGCGCCTATCGGCTGACCTGGGTTCGCGACGCCCTGCGTTGCAGTTTTCATTTCCTGCATTGCAGTTTGTGTGGTTTGCATTGGGTTTGCCTACGTGCGGACGTGCAGGTCGAGGTTGCTGAGCCTCCGGCGGCCCACCGTATTATGAAAGCATTGTTACGCAGTCTCCCCCTGTCCGCCGGGAGAGACCCGCGAGGCCGGGAGGGCCGAGGCGGCAAGCTCGCGAAAGAAAGAAAGACCTGGGTCCCCAGAGATCCGACGTCGTGATTTTTTCAATACGGGGCCCCCGGGGGTCTCGACTCGTTCCCCGGGACCGGTTTTTCATCCTAAGTCGTTTTTTGACGGTCCCGGGGCCCGGCGAGGGCCCCTTGAGGCCGAAACTTGCGAAAAACCTCCGTCTTGATTTTTTCAATACGTTGGATCTCTGGGTCGGAAGATCCCCGAAGGGGCAGCGTGGCGGCGGATGGAGGAGCGGCGGCAGGGGCCGAGGATGCGAGGCGGGAAGTCGTGCACGACCACCGCGCGGCCGGAGGGTCGGCTCTCGGGGCCCTCTCGGCGGGCGGTGGCCACACATGGACGCGCTCGGGCCCCCGCGGGGCCCGAGGCGTGTCCCTGTCCGCCGCCCGCGGGGGGCACCAGGGCGTCGGCTCCCGGGCGGTGGCCGTGGATGGAGCCCCGCCTCGCCGAGGAGGCGGCGGCGGCGGCTACCCCTGGTGGCAGCACGTCCGCGGCAAGGGCAAGGGCAGGGGCTGGTGAGCAGTGCCGCCCAGCCCTCGCCGCCCGCCGGGCGACGCTCGGGCCGTGCCAGTCGCGCGGTGATGCGGCGGAGTGCGTCGGTCGCGCTCCAGCGTGCCTCCTTCCCGTGCCTCCTCCTCCCTTCTGCCCCCACTCTCCTCCTCCTCCTCCTCCTCCTCCTCCTCCTCCTCCTCCTCCTCCTCCTCCTCCTCCCTTCTCCCTCCTCCTCCTACTCCCTTCTCCTCCTTCTCTCCCTCCCTCCTCCCCTCCCCCCTCCTCCTCCTCCTCCTCCTCCCTTCTCCTCCTTCCTCCTCCTCATCCCTCCTTCATCCTCTTTCCACTTCCACCTCCACGGGACACCACGGGACACTTGTCGATCTCACCATCGATCTCACTCAACGGACGGGACACCGCGGAACACCTCTCGATCTCACTATCGGTCTCACGATCGATCTCATTATCAATCTCACTCAACGGGGCACCACGGGACACCACGGGACACCTCGGGACGCCACATCGATCTCGTTATCGATCTCACTATCGATCTCACTCAACGGGACACCACGGGACACCACGGGACACCACGGAACACATCGATCTCAGTATCGATCTCACTATCGATCTTACTTTTTGGGACACCACGAGACACCACGGGATACCTCGGGCACCACATCGATCTCACTATCGATCTCACTATCGATCTCACTATCGATCTCGCTATCTATCTCACTCAACGGGACATCACGGGCCACCACGGGACACCACGGGACACCGCGGAGCACCTCTCGATCTCACTATCGGTCTTTATCGATCCCACTATCAATCTCACTCAACGGGACACCATAGGACACCATGGGATACCTCGGGACACCACATCGATCTCACTATCGATCTCACTATCGATCTCACTCAACGGGACACCACGGGACACCACGGAACACATCGATCTCAGTATCGATCTCACTATCGATCTCACTTTTTGGGACACCACGAGACACCACGGGATACCTCGGGCACCACATCGATCTCACTATCGATCTCACTATCGATCTCACTATCGATCTCGCTCAACGGAACACCACGGGACACCACGGGACACCACAGGACACTTGTCGATCTCACTATCGATCTCACTATCTAACGGGACATCACGGGCCACCACGGGACACCACGGGACACCACGGGACACGGCGGAGCACCTCTCGATCTCACTATCGGTCTTTATCGATCCCACTATCGATCTCACTCAACGGGACACCATAGGACACCATGGGACACCTCGGGACACCACATCGATCTCACTATCGATCTCACTCAACGGGACACCACGGGACACCACGGAACACCTGTCGATCTCAGTATCGATCTCACTATCGATCTCATTGTTTGGGACACCACGGGACACCACGGGACACTTCGAGCACCACATCGATCTCACTATCGATCTCACTATCGATCTCACTGACCCGGCACCACGGGACACCACGGGATACCACGGGACACCCGGGACACCCGGGACATCGCCCGGCCCAATTGGGACACCTCCCTGACTCTGGATCCGCCCTACTTTGGGGAAATTCGTAAGTAGGGCTTGGAATTTCCGCCTTACTTTTCAAGCCCCGCTGATGCCAATTTCCGCCCTACTTTTCTGTTGTTGTTTCCGCCCTACTTCTGTGGATTTTCGCCCTATTCTATGCTGGGTGCAGAAATTTCCGCCCTACTTTTTCGGCCTCTTATAGGTGGATTTCCGACGCAATTTTAAGTTGGAAAAAAGCCAAAGTAGGGCGGATCTGGAGTCAGGGCTCCCAGCCACCGGCGGACGGGAACGGACTTCTCGCTCCTATTGACAACCGGGACACCCGGGACACCGCCCGGCCCAACCGGGACACCTCCCAGCCACCGGCGGACGGGAACGGACTTTCGCTCCTTCTTCGGCTTAGCTACAGAAGGACCACGTGCAGCTTCGCCTCGCCCGCACGCGCGATACGAACACGAAGCCGAAACCGATTTTCCTGGTGGGGGGTCTCCGTTACACTGCGATCTCATCCCCCAACCTCCGACCCCCTCGTGCGCGCCGCCCTCAGTAAGTCGGCGCACGCTGCCGAGAGAGCAGTGGGCCAGCAGGCGCTCCAGGCAGGCACGCCCGGGCACGCCAGGCATGCAGACATTGACCACCCCTTCGCGACGAGGACCGCGCGTGCCTCCGCGCGTGCACCGCCTCGGCACCGCTTGTCGCTTGGCACCCCGGCGTTCGGTGGTCATCAGATCAGCGCATCCCGCCGTTGCCCTCGCTGTGGTGTGCCAGCCGGCCGCGAAGCCAAGAAGCGTGGGGGCGCGTCGCCCCCCGCCTTCCCCCCACGTCCTCGGGGACGAGGACACCGTCCCCGCTGCGACGGCCCGGAAGCCCTGCGGGGCGGCGGCGCACGCGACGGGGCGGCGATCGCCGCGCGGGGCGGAACCGGTGCTCAACGGAGGCTCCAGGCTCCCACTCTCCGGCAGGCTCGCTCCTGCTCGGTAGCAGATCATTGGGGCCTGGTTGTAATTTATGTCCCTCGCAATCGCCGATGCGAAAGCGCCGATTCAGCGTCGACCAGCGTCGACTTTTAGCCTCGATGGGCGTCGATCAGCGTCGGCCAGCGTCGACTAGCGTGGGTCAGCGTCGATTCGCAAGAGCCATTATGATGACACTGAAGGCCCCTGTGAGTTGCCACCGAGTCCTCCCTCCCGACGCCGCGCCGCGCCGCAGGTGAAGCAGGGGCAACGTTCAGGGCGGATGCATCGACCCCTCGTCGCCCATTCATCGCCGATCTATCTCGGCGATGTATCGCCGATTCCAGGCCGGTCCCCCGCTTGCCTGCTCCCTCCCCCAGGCGGGTGGTACGGGGGGGTGACTTGACAAGTGGGGGGCCCTAGAGAGGAGCCCCTTTTGGTGCCCTCTTGGGGCCCCTGCGGGCTCCCAGAAGGGGCCCCCAAAGGGTCCCTTGAAAGGCCTTTTTCTTCACCCCCCTTTTGGGGAGGAGGAGGAGGAGGAGGAGGAGGAGGAGGAGGAGGAGGAGGAGGAGGAGGAGGAGGAGGAGGAGGAGGAGGAGGAGGAGAGAGGAGGGGAGGAGAGTGGAGAGGAGGAGGAGGAGGAGGAGGAAGGAGGGAGGAGAGGAGGAGGAGGGAGGAGGAGGAGGAGGAGGCTCCTCCCGTTGGCCTGGCCTGGCCTGAGCCGGCCGAGCCTCGGGCGCGCCCGCGCCGCCCCCGAGCCCGCGCCGCCCGCCCCGCGGCATGGGGGCCCGGCGCGGGGGCGGCCACTGGGAGTCCCTGCTGGAGTTCCACCCCGCGCTCGGGCAGTGCCGGCTGATCCTGCAGCTGCGCGCGCGCGAGGGCGAGGAGGACCGCGCCGGCGTCATGCAAGAAATGCTTGCGTCTGCCTCAGAGGCGACGACAGGGGCGACTAGCCCAGGGGAGAGCAACACATGTACTCAGGTGCGCCGATGATCTGTGTCTTCGAAAAGGCTCCTGGGCGAATACGTGTAATGCCCGCCCCTGGGCTATTCGCCCCCATTGTCGCCGCCGATGAACTAGGCGTGCGTCGCCCCCGGACGGCCGAGCCGCGCGCTCAGACATCTCATAGTAGATGCTCGGCGGCCGGCGTTTGTCTGGCCATACCGCTCGTCGGGAAGCGAGATACGACAAGGTTTTGTTCGGCTCGGACGTGCGTGTCCAGTAGAGGCGCATAGTGTCAGTGTTTCCTGGTGCGTCCCACCGCGCGCCACCGAAGACGCAGAGGTGCGAGGCGTCCCGAGGGCGAGGGGGCTCCTGGCACATCTCCGCCGCCTTCGCCCTCCCGGGGGCCCCCGCCGGGCCGCCCGGGCCGAGAGCGGCCTCCCGGGGAGACCCTCACGCCGGGATATTTTGTCGCAGCGTCGACCCCAGAGGTGGGCCCTCACCCCGGGGCCAGGTCTTATCCGGCGGCGAGCCCGGGGGGAAGTGAGGAGGGGCGGGCCTTCTCAGAAGGCTCGTAAATCCCCAGGCCTTTTGAAACAAGCTCTCTGAGCCTTCCCCGAAGGCGCAAGAAACCTTTCCGAGGGCGCGCGGGCGTCTGAGAAGCCCCGCCGCCTTCTGCTCACTTCCCCCCCTGGCTCGCCGCCGAGAGGTGGACCCTTAGGGCCAGGGGCCAGGCCTCCTCCCAGGAAGTGATCCTCCCGACGCCTGGCGGGCCCCCCCAGGAGGCCGAACACGCGTCCTCCTTCTCCTCCTCCTCCTCCTCCTCCTCCTCCTCCTCCTCCTCCTCCTCCTCCGCCTCTTTCCTCCTCCTCCCTCCTCCTCCTCCTCCTCCTCCTCCTCCTCCTCCTCCTCCTCCCCTCCTCCTCCTCCTCCTCCTCCCTCCCCTTCCATCCAGGACGTGGACACGCTGGCCTCCTCCTCTTCCATCCTCCTCCTCTTCCATCCCCTCCTCCTCCTCCTCCTCCTCCTCCCTCCTCCTCCTCCTTTTCCCTCCTCCTCCTCCTCCTCCTCCTCTTCCTCCTCCTCTTCCTTCCTCTCCTCTCCATCCTCCTCCTCTCCTCCTCCTCCCTCCCCTCCTCCTCTCCCCCTCCTCCTCCTCCTCCTCCTTCCCTCTTCCCCTCCTCCTCCGTCCTCCTCCTCCTCCTCCTCCTCCTCCTCCTCCCCTTCCTCCTCCTCCTCCTCCTGCTCCGGGCGGGGGAGAGGGGGAGGGGGCTCGCCGCCGAAGTGTGGTTCCCCCCCCCCCCCTCCCCCCGCCCCTGGGGCCCTGGCCGCCGCGCTGCCAGCCGCGGCCCGTCGCCGGGGCGCCCCACAGGGGCCAGCGTCCAGCGCCTGGGGGAGAGGACCGGTCACGTCCTGATTCGCGCCGGCGTTCGTTTTCGACTACACGTACCCAGAGAACCAACGCAATGAAAAAATCAAGACGGAGGTTTTTCCCAAGTTTCGGCCTCAAAGGGCCCTCGCCGGGCCCCGGGACCGTCAAAAAACGACTCAGGATGAAAAACCGGTCCTGGGGAACGGGTCGAGACCTC